TTTTTGCTATCTCTGATTTATTGCCTTTGAATGAAATGCTTAGGATAGTAGAAATTTTGATTAGCTGATTAAATGAAAAGCTTTTTTCTGTATGTTAGTTGCTATCTAAGCAAAGTTAAAACCAGAAAAATTCCTAATTTTCTTTCAGTTTGACTTATTACCATCAGAATCGAAAATAAATCTATGTAAAGTTCTAATCTTATTTGCTGTACAATTCTTCAATGCAACATATCACGTAGCATCATTATCAAATATGAAAAATAATCTACATAACCTTCTAGCTTCGAAGTTATTCAATACATAATCCTAATCCTCTGATGAATTCCACCATTCTGTGTTCTGGAATTCCACTATTCATCCCACTTCTGAAGAAAAATGTAGTAGGTACTTTGTGGACGATCAAAACATCTGCAAAGCTTTTATATAGTGGGACAACATGTTTAATTACATTAAAATATATACACATTTTCGAAAGATAAATCAGTTCTCTTCTATGATACAGTATTACATCTTTAATATCCAACATCGTTATTCTTTCAGTACATGAGGCCAACTGCCAAACAAAAACAACAGAGCAAATCATATGATGAGCAGGTCAACATCATTAGGCGTTCACATTGGCATCACATTAATCTTATAAAAATAACAGCATATAAAATTTAATGAGTATTCTCATAAGTATGTAAGCAATGCTTTCCTTTTTTGTGCTTCTCTGTTGTTTGCAGTATGTCTCTGATTATGGAATAAACAATTTAAAAGTTAAGTAATTAGTAGAAAAGAAAAGTCATGCAAATAACAGATTTGAAAAAAATTTTCACTTTAAATTTCTATTATATAACAATATTTGAATATTTGAAATATTAAAAAAAATTTAAATAGAATTTTCTATTTGAAATTCTTATTCCTATTTGAAAAAAATCTATTATATAACAATAATAGTATTTCTACGTGGTATGCTATGGGTCAGAACAAAGTATAGCAAACTTGACAAACTTGTGGTGACAAAAAATTCGTAAACAAATCATCAAAAGTGTAAGATGTCATAAAATACTGTCTGTTGTAAAATTTCCATGATTATAAATTTAATCAGTTTATAAACATTTTTATACGGACTTAAACAGTTTTATTTTAAAAGCACAGCACACAGATATGGTTGTTTTCTTATTTCTTCAAAATAATAGATAGAAAAAGATAAAAATATATTTCATATTTTTTTTGAAATAATAGACAATAGAAGTTGATTATATTCATGTTACTTTGGATATAATCAATTTCTGTTTCTGTTGTTCATGACCTCAAACTACAGCCATCAGGATATTGGAAATTTCCTATGATCTTTCAGAAGCAGAACATTCATTTGATTGGTTGGTGTCTATGTGGATCACAGCCATAAGCAAAAATTTTTTGGCAAAGTTCCAAAATATCTGTCTATGTGGATCACATTCAGAAGCAGAACATTCATTTGATTGGTTGGTGTCTATGTGGATCACAGCCACAAGCAAAAATTTTTTGGCAAAGTTCCAGAATATCTCTGTCTATGTGGATCACAGCCACAAGCAAAAATTTTTTGGTAAAGTTCCAAAATATCTCCACAGCTAGGACATTATTCTCAATGAGTTGGTTTGTCTTACAACACTTCAGTTTTAACCAATACTACCACAATCTTGTTTTCAGAAATGTACTGTCTAGCATAGCATTAGATGTGATAACCTCTTTAGTAGTTACCTAACATTTAAGCTGTCATTTTCAAGACTAATTTGAGTGTTTTGAAGTTCTTTTAAAGGCCATATAACACATTTAAAACATTTTGAAGAACTGCTTAGTGCAATTTTTTTTTTTTTTTCACATAATGCAGAGGGTGTTAACACATTTTTAGAATGATTTTATAAAGAATTTTTTTAAAAAGCAAAGGTTTTGAAATAAAAATTTCTGATGACAGCTTGTTATTTGAAATGAGAAATATTGTTTGCAGCTTTTTAATTTATTCTTCATTGAAAATATCACATGTAAACGATCTGTGGATTGAAGGGTAGGTTTTTTGCATTTTCTGAAGCAAATGTTCCTGTTCCGTAATTTAAAAATGCTGTAAAATAAATAACATTAAAATTTAAAACAGAGTTCCACCATCAAATTGAAAATCCCAGGACATTAGAGCAATTGAACTGGAAGCTAAGTATGGCATTTGTAAGTCGGCTGAAAGTAGGTGTGGGGGGTAAATACAGTGATGTGTTCAATGGTAGCTATTGTAGTAGATCTGCCTTATTCACCAAGTTGATATGTTTTGTTATTGCATCTTGTTTAATTATAGAGGGTGTCTACACATTCCTAGAAGGAACATGGAAAAAATACTCCAAATGAATACCTGAAAAGGTACATACTGTTTCCGATGTTTTGAAAGTTAAATCATTTGGTAATGAAATAAAATCCACTTACACAGAAATCAGTTGCAGAGTCATCTGTAACAACAATAAATAAAATAATAAACCAAGATTTACAACTTATTTTTGAAGACAATCCTCATCAGATTTTGCTGAGGCATTTGATTCAATGCAGAACAATTTCTAGAATTCTGTATGAAAACTATTTAACAGGAGATAAATGGAAAAACGCTGTGTCCATTGATGAAACATGGATTTACCTACATGACTGAAACAAAGATAGGTTTATTTATTATTGAAAACAAAGAGGAAAAATATACAGATTTCGATCCATTATAGAAAAGAAAGTTTCAGGAAAGGATTTATGGTTGTTGCAGGATTCTCTTACAATGGGAAATTAAAAATACAAAGAGTGGGGTAGGAGGTGTTGAAATCAACTCAGCATATTATCAAAAGTTTTCCATCCAATATTTGCAGAAGAAATTCTGTTTCTTTATTCTACTGACTTTCAAAGAGTCAAATTTCATCAAGACAAAGCAACAAGTCATGCTTTGAAAAATACCACTACATTGCTTTCAAAAATGAAGACCGATACAGGTATTGTATATATACAGCATGTTTCAAAAAGAATATATGTATTTCAAATGCATATATATTTATTAAACTGTATGACATACGAATATGAAACTTTACACAGGTATGTACGAACCTCTCATGTTCAGATTATAGGCATTACAGATGTTCAATATGTCCTCCATTAGCGGCACGAACAATATCACATTGATACCTAAATTCCTCCCATACTCAGGCAAGCATATCCGTCGTCACTGATGGTATGGCAATACGGATCCGGTTCTTTACCTCTGTGAGAATAGTGGTACGTAAACGTTGTCTTTAATGAAATCCCACGGGAAGAAGTCACAGGGTGTCAAATCTGGTGACCGTGAAGGCCAGCTGAGACATGCTAAGTTGCCAGTTCCTTGACGGTTTGGTAAAGTTTCATTCAAATAATCATGCACTTGGCGACGCCAGTGAGGGGGTTGCCCCGTCTTGTTAAAAAATGAAGTTGTCTTCGTGCAGCCTCGGAAAAACCTGTTTTGTAACATAGCGAGATATTGCTGACCGTTAACCGTGCTTCCATCAAAGAAGAATGGGCTGTAAACAGATGATCGGGATATTGCACCAAACACATTGATTTTGGGAGAATCTCGTGCATGTTCAAAGGCTGCATGTGGGTTCTGTAAGTCCTAAATTCGAATATTGTGTTTGTTTACATGACCACTAACATGAAAAGTTGCTTCATCACTGAACACGATGCATTGTGCGAAAGTGTTATCATTGCCAATAGCATCAATAATATTGTTACAAAATGCCACACGTTTGCGTTTGTCATCAGGACGCAGAGCCTGTAACAAATGTAACTTGTATGGCTTCATAACCAACAGTTGTCTCAAAACATGTCAAATTGTTGTTGTAGGTAGTCGTAAATCCCGACTGGCACAACGTGTTGATTCTGAAGGACTACGTTGGAAAGCAGTTTGAATTCGTCCAACATTTTCGTCGGGAACACGAGGGGGGCCAGGGCTCTTTCCTTTAAATACACATCCTGTATTTACAAACAGTCGATACCATCTGCAAATGTTCTACCCATTCGGAGGATCACTTTGGTACCTCAACTGGAAACATCTTTGCACTGTAATCACGGAACTGCACTTCACAAACTCGAGAACACAAAATGATTTCTGCTGCGAAAAAGCCATTTTAAACATGTGACGATTACCATGCAAAACAAAAGACAACTGACATCTAGCGGTTATTAATATAAACTAGACTATTTATTTGTTTCGCCAATAGCCGAGCCAAGGCGCAGTGATCGATAGTTTGGACAAAATAACACTTTGTAATACGTATATTCATTTTGAAACACCATGTACTTTTTCAACTTATATCTGCAAAATCCCTTAATGTTTCACCTATGGCCTTTTATGTATCTGGTCTCTTGAAAAGAGCTCTTTCTAACAGCAAACTCAGCACAATAGATGTCATCTGGAAAGTAGTAGAAGAGGAATAGAGATTAAATTTTATGAAAAGCATTTCTTTCATGGAAATCACGATGCAGACTTATAGTCCAGAAAAAAGGTTATCAGATCGAACATTTAAAAAAATACTCTTTGCATTCTAAATATTAATTAAATGGTCCCAAAGTTGTTCTAAAAATGTATAAACATCCTGTGTATAAAGCAACTAATTGTCATGGATTGCTTTGGTTTACTAAGTAAAGAGGAAACTGGTTTTTTATCACAATCCCAAAGATCAATAAAGAACTTTCACACAGGCTCTTTAATTTAATATTGATTGGATGAAAACTTAACTTTTGTTTTAAATCTATAACTTTGTTCGAAAAGTGGAAAAAATCACAATTCTTTCTTGCAGTGCTAGTTGGTAGAAAAATTGTTTGTCCAAAACAAAGGTATATGTGATAATGCTGTAAATATAACTGTTAGTTTAATATTTCAGGAACATTTACCTATCTTACTACGTTAGTGTAATGACTAAGAGGTTGTTACAGTTTTTGTGTTCTGCTTGCTTTGTGTTTAATGTTTTTCTGTTTTATCTTTTCAGCATGAAACAAGGGGGACGTCAAGTGGTAGTACTCTTTATGATTTAGCTGCTGTGATAGTCCACCATGGCACTGGGTATTTAATTTGATTAATTTATTTTTTGAAGTGTGGAAACATACTGTTTATTCTTGACTGTTTGTGCACTTGGATGTGTGTATGTATTTAACTAAAATTCACATATAAATGAGGTAAAAACATATTTAATGTTACATAAGGTATTAAAATATGCATTATCTACTGTGATACTTTATTAAGCTTAGTAATTAAATACATAAAAGACATCACTATGACTTTAGATTTATGACTAAATCGTGCTTGTATCTTTTTCAAATTTCTGCATTTTTAAAATGTCTTCAGTAGACCTGGTTTTCTTTACTTGTCTTGTGAAGATCAAAAGATTTAAATTATAGATTAGAAAATGAGCCTAAACTTATCTGTGAATATTGTCTCTGTATTATGTACTATCAGCATTCAACTAAATCACGTCTTTTTGTTCAATTATATGCAAACAATAACTCTTGCATAAAACTCAATATGAAGTCTTCTCACGTTAGTACCAGTTATTCTTTTTATAGTTATAATGTTCATGTTAAGCCCAAGTATTCTTATTTAAACATATAACAAAATATTTTAACAATGATTTTTAGAAACGGTAGTAGCATGTTAGCAGCTTGACACTAATCTTTTATATCTTACATCTTTTTCTAGAAGAAAGTAGTAGTAAGTAGTTTAGTAGGAAGGAACTTTTACTATCAAAATAGTTTAAGCTAAAACCAGCTGGTTTGGAAATATAGCATAAGCTGTAAGTGTTACATAGTACTTAAAGCAAGCTTTAAAATAATATAACATGTTTATGTTTTCCTTAATTTCATTATATTATGAAATACATTTTTATGATGTTTTATGTATGGAATTTTTATTCAGTGCTTATGTTTTATGTTTCTGGAGTTGTTATTGATTTCTCTTTCATTGTATAAGAAAAGTAACATGTAATGTTTTAATATATATTTTGTTTAATTATTTAATAATTTTATTTTTTCAGTGCTGGTTCAGGCCATTATACAGCCTATGCAACACATGATGGTAATTTATATATTTAAAATATTATGGTATATATATATGTATGTATGTATTTATATACATTTATAGTAGTGAAATGTGAAAACAGTTCGGATATGTTCCTTTTCTTAAAGAGTTTTCAAATGCTGTGTTTATAAAACTGATCAAATATGTTTTGTGTCATTAAATTTGTGTGTGCTTTTAGTATTTTGTTTTCTGAATCTCAAATGGGGAGAGATAAATGCAGTGAAACCTCTCATTATGGTCCACTGACATTTGCCTTTGAAAGTGGCTAGTATGTTGTAGAATGTAAATAAATATCCATACTGAACATGATGTCTGTAAGGCAACCTTCTTCATCAAAAGACTAAGATACTTTGGAACTTTAGGCAGCTATGTCTGAGAGGTTTCAGTGTAATTTGCTTACTTGCATAATTGTTTTTATCTGATTTCTATGAAAGTTTTGTGTTAGCTTTTTATAAGTAAGTTTCATGTCAGAAAAATTAAATTTGCTTCCAAATTTTTATATACCTCCCATATTGAAATGCAGTGAAATATAATTCAGTACATAAATGGCATTATGGTATTAGATTACTTTTCATTTTTTGGAAGTATTTGTAAAATAATTTTCAAACTGAAGTGCCCTATTATTTTAATTTCAGATTTCCTTACATTTTACTGCAAATCTGAATCTTTTATTTAATTTTTCAAAGTAGTCATAAGTAGCTTAAGGGTTTAATTGACAAATTTGAAAATAACTGAAAAATGTCTATGAAAATATAAAGCAAATCTTAAGGGGAGAAATGGAGAGGATCCTTCACATTAATATTTATTCAGAATTGGATTTTATAGGAAATCTGTTTAACTATTTCTCTACATAATAATCAGTAGGAAAACTTAAGAGAACTGATTGGATGGTAACTATATATTAAGCCTTGTTATACTATATATTAAGCCTTGTTGGTGTAAAATGAAATTTTAAAAAATTGCTAATTTCTTTAAGCACTGTTTTGTTTTAAAGATGTATATTTAATGTTTTGGAAGAAATTCCTTTGTGCCAGTTTAAATTAACTAAACTCTGATAGTTCCCCTTTATTTTAAGCTGATCTTCATTCTTAATGAATAGAGATGTCTCAGTATATCAATGTAACTCAATGAGTAATTTGATTAAGATTATACCTTATGTATTATTTTGATTGTTAACATAATTTTAATTGTTACTTGTGATTTTTCTGGGACTCTCCTGATTTTCATAAATACTGAAATAAAAAGCACAAAATATATATCTGAGTAAAAAATATTGTCATACAGATTATAGCATTAATCAATATTTTAATTAGATCGATATTGATAGTGTAGAATACAGAAGAGAAAGCGAAGCATAACATATACATGCACATACGTACAGCGAAGGAGAGTGATTGCATCATCATGGCATGCCTCGATGCACGGGCGTACTATGCATGTGTCAGGAGAAGCCAAGCTCTAAAGCTAAATGGCAGATATTATAATCTAATAATCCTCTTTTCATGTTTGGCAGCTAAAAAATAAACGTTAATCGTTTTACATTCACTCCAATTAATGTACAGTGCTTAGAATGTTTCGGAGCAGTCATTCAGTACACCAAAAGGCATTTTCTCTATTGGCACATATTTAACATCTATTTCATTATCTCATAAATCTCACATATGAAATGATACCTGATATATATATATATATATATGTATTCAGTGTGTGAGTTGTAAACTGAGTTTTTCAAAGGTTCTGTGCACCTTGATTATCGCAATATATAGTGGTTGGATATTTAGCATTAAAATTATATAATTTGAGAAAACAATGTAAATGAACTGCTTTTTTAGCACTTTCCAAAAGACTGCTCTGCTTAGTACTTGATAATGTAATAGGCAAGTCTGAATAGATAACATAAATAGCATTTTCTACTGTTTAACATCAGATGTCCAGTCGACATAAGTACATCCAATAGGTGTTTTTCCAGTCTTTTAAAGTTTTAGAAAATAACTTTTAGCTTTAAGTCTCCGTTAACATAGACCAATACAAAATCTGGTTGATGTAGAATAAGGTGTCATTCAGCACTTTATGCAATCACAGTTCTTATAGAGCTTGCTCTGGGCTACTGGAGCTAAAGTTTCATAGAAGTTGATTCCAAGTTCCTGTAAATCCTCTGACAACTAATTGAGCTTTTCTGTCTGCATTATATTTTCGTTCTAAGTACAAGCAACATCCTATTACCTTTTTGTTTTGTGATCATTTTACTAATTTTCATGCACCATTTTAACAAGTGCTTTATATTCGCTATGCATATCCTTATGCCAGTCTTCAACATAACTTTCATTTAATGCTGCTTCTAATGTCATATTTGTAACTTCTCTTTCAGCAATTCGGGTTCTTTTTTGTGTGTGTCAATATTGGAGGACTCCTTTTTTGGTCTTCCTGGATTCCCAGACTTGATTTTCTTTGGCCAACCTCTTTCCCTTTTAATCTGCATTTCAGGTATTGCTTCGGAATCAGAATCTTCATTATCAAATGACTCAGCAGATGCTTTTGCCATATTCAAGGGGTTGTCCATTATTTTATCAGCCGATATTTGATCTGCATTCAGAGATTCTTCCTTTTTTTATCAGGAATATTTTCAAGAACTAAAACTTCTATATCTTTATCAGGGTTCAGTTTTGCAATTCATCAATAAATCTAACATCTTGGCTTGTAACAGTTTTTTTAGAATTTTTATTCCACAGCCTGTTTGATTGATTTGAGTATCATACAAAAATATGTTCTTCTGATCAAGGATTGAATTTCCCGTTAGACCTTTTATTAACCCGTTCGAAACAGCAGCCTTTGGAAGATAGCGCTGCCTCAGAACTTGAGCTGTTACACATAGACTGTGCTTACAGGCTGAAGCATTTTCTCCCGCTAAGCCTAATATGCAATTTTGGAAAGTATGCTTATGTAATAATGGATAAAATGTGCACTTTACATAGAAATAAAACCATTTTTAAATATGTGATTAAAGATATCATAATTTCAATCATATAAAAAAATTATTAACTAAAAGTACCTAAAGTAAACACTGAATGCTGATACAAAACATTAAAAAAATTTAAAATATTGACACTTAACATTATAGTTTAAGAATAACAAATAGTTTAAGAATATTGTAATAATTAATATTTCAAAGCCATATGAAAAATCTCAAAACACAGATCAATGCCGAGACCGACATTGCGCTATTATCATGCATAATTTCAATCATGCATGTCTATTATTATCATCTTCTAATTCAGAATCTGAGTATTCAGAACTACTATATAAAGAACTTCAATAATTTATAGTTGTTTCTTCCTCCTCAGAAAGGTAATGTGGTCTTTTAGCCATGGCTATACAAATGAATCTAAAAGTGAAACCCATGCTAGAATATCTCCAATAAAATCCCATCCTAAAATAGAATCGAAACTATAAACAACCACTTCAGAATGAGCTAAAAAGCTCTTTACCATGTGCTTCCTTTTTTTCATTTTAATTGTTTAATTTGCATGGTTTCTTTCAAATAACTGTTTAAAAAATTTCTATTTACTCATTCGAACTGCGTAGTATAAATAAAAGGTGCATCTTTTTTTTTTTCAAATAGTTTTCTTTATACTATACTTTTTAGTAATAGTTATTAATTTTTAGTCATAGTTTTTTTTTTTTTTTTTTTTTTTTTTTTATACTTTTACTTTAATTGTTTGTGTTGCATTATCTCTTCAGATAATTGTTTTAAAATTTTCTATTTATTCCTTCGAACTGAGCATTTTAAATATATTTATTAATATCAATTTTCCAGAATTTGATTTTATTTATTTGAACTGCGTTTCTTTCGGAAGAATACTTTGTATAACCCAGACTACGATGAGTTTGAAAACTGCATACTATATTAAAAGAGAAAATACAGTAAAGCACAGTTAACATGCCCTTCAATGTTCCATTCAGAGGAGATATATAAATAAGAGAGATGTATATGCAACATTTTAACTTAGGATGACTTGCATACATTGCTTTAAACAGTTTTATCATTGTGCCCATTGCTTTATACAATTTTATCAGCCTACATTTAGTTTCTTAAAATGTTATTCATATTTTAGTCAAATATTTTATTTTTGAAATCGCAAGAATCAAATGTCATAAAATTAAGAAATTTTAAATGAAAAAAGGTACTAAATTTTATGTAAAAATTTATTTTTTCTTCTTAATGGCTTGTTTTTTTTTTCTTCAGGCATTCTGCAAGCATATTAAAATGCATCCACTTTTCGAAACATCTTGGTATTTCTGACATTAATTGTAAATAAAGTCATTATTTCCATTTCATAAGGGCCCATAAACAACCGAGCAGTAAGGTCGCTGAACACTGGTACTTCGCCTCGGGGTTAGAATCCAGGCGAACTGGCTGGTTGCATTAGTGTTTTCATGGTTTTTCTTATGTGTAATGTGTATACAAGCTGGTTTTCCTGAGCAAGGTCTTCACAAAGGCATCCCTCATTTTTAGGAAGATAGCCCTGCTTTGCCGTAACTTAATGATCCAATTCAATCCATTTCATCACTATCTGGTCAGAGCCTTTATCTGTCTTTAAGAAGCTAGGCATTTTGAAGGCATGAGATGAAAGGAAAGACTGGTTTCAACAAGAAGGAAAACGTCTTTAGATGATATCCATATATGTTACTAGATAAATTCCTGAATCTTCAAATAATTTGACTGAGAAATCGTGGGATGATCCATTTATCATACGATATGATTTTCTATGACGTAATTTAAGTTTGTACAACTGTATTGTCGAAAACCAGTTGCTCTTCACTTTAATCTGCAATGATATCATTTTTGTCTTTTCCATTAGCACAAACTCAGTTGCTGCTATTTGCTGATGTACATGTCCAAGTGTTTTCTCTTTGAACACTCAACTTCCTTGAAGTAGATTCCTCTTCAGATTTTTGCTCCCCCCCCCCTAATTTTCTTCTTTCCTTCTACATTTATTTTCAGTGCTGACACAAGAAAATTAAGATTATTCAATTGTTACACTTCCATAAATTTTGTCAAATTTTTTAAAATATCATTTGCATCAAATGCATTTCAGCTGAAGACAGCTTTTCATTTTTTAGACATTGTAACTATAAATAAAGTTTAAAGCAAAGCCCAAAGGATAAATAGTTGAATTAAAAGATTTTTGCTAAATGAGAAAGAAATAAGCCACTCCAGCGATTATCCTGTACCACTGAAAGACCTGCTTCTTATATCGGTGGCAAACAATCTAAATTATATTATTTAGAGTTTTTAAGCCTAATAATTTCCATATTAAAGAACATGTTTTTTATATAATCTACAACACGAGAGAAAATTACTACTTAAAACATTTTTTCTAAGAGGATTAAGGTAAAAATTTATATATATATTTTTTAAAGCTGGAGCATAATGCAAACTGTCAACATCCTGTTGCTTTAAAAACATTGTGAAAATAAACATCAAAACATCAAACAAACTTTCTTAGTTTTAGACAATTAAATTTAAATGAAGTTAAAAGAAAAGTAGCAGACGATAACGCAAAGATAAAAATTTACTCCTACGAATATTTAAAAAAAAAAGGGGGTAGGGAAAGGAGGAAATTTAAAAAAAAAAGTTAAGAATTTGAATAATATGTATAATTTAAAAAATAGCTCTTCATAGCATTAATAAATATTTATTATGGATCATTGAGGGAAAAAAATTTCATATAATTAATTCTCCGTAAAAATTTATTTGAAATTTAAAGTTAAAAATAGCTGTGACAATTCACTGTAACAAAATCTATAAACCACATTTAGCATTATTATGGCTAAAAAAGTCTGATGTGTACACCACATGACTTCCTTGTATGGAATATTAAATTATACGCATTTTTTCTTGCATTTTGTTGAAACTTATTGGATTAAATTAAACCTACTTCGCCGACAACGCCTAAACCACAATAGAATAAATGCATTCTTTAAAATTCACTCTGTTTGTTTACCATAGCGATACTCTGGCACTAGGTTCACTTAACAGTAATATATTTCGTTCATATTATAAGTCAATGCACAAAATTTATATCATTTAAAGAATTATCTAATCTTACCACATGTTCTATTCAAATGCTATAATAAAGCTAGAACGATGTATAAAAGAAATTAAGCAAACAAAAAAAAAAAAGAAACAGTTTTTCACAAACGATTTAGTATTTCTCATTCAATTAATTCAGTTCTCACTTCGCGACAAGGCAAAAATACATAAAAACTCAAAATATCTGTATTAAAAATTACGATCTGAAAAACTTATTTCCTCGAATAAATTCCAGAGTGGATTAAGCAGGATTTAATTTGCAATAATGAATGAAGGCATTATTTTGTTGTTGCGAAGCTACGTTTCTCTAGATTGGCAACAAATCCACTACTCTGCTGTTTCAAATGTAAAGCAATGGCCGCCAACAAAAAAATTATTAGGCTTAGCGTCTCTTAAACAACTTTGAAATTGTTGATAATTCTAAAAATATTGCATACAGATTTACTAAAGGAATAAAAACCTCAACCGGAAGATAAGAACAACATAATTCAATCATTTTTAAAGCAAAAAATTTACAATTTACAAACATATAAAAGTAAAAAAACTGAGATCACTGAGTGGATATATATCTAAATATATTTATATACGTTTGGCGCGGCCGATTGCAACCGAAATACGAGGTGCACATCTACATGTTAGTAATCCTATATACAAAATTTCAACGTTCTGAGGCTACTCGTTTTTGAGTTATGCGAGATACATACGTATGTACGTACATACGTTCGTACAGATGCCATGAAAAATCCTCTTCAGAATTCATTTTAAAGCAGTTTTATCATTTTTTGGAGGAAAAGATTCTTTTATTCTGTCCTTACGTACAGATATCACGCAAATACATCGTTAGATTGCATTCGAAAGCGGTCAAAATGGGTATTTTTGTTGAAATATGCTGCCTGAAACTTTTCGCAATTACAATACTTCCTTTTTACTTCGTACAAGGAAGTAAAAAAAAGATGCCAAATTTCAAAACACTCCCAATATGTAAATTTGTGTGTATCTTAGAAAATTTTGAATAAAAAAATTCTAATTTTTTCCAGGTATGCTTAAAAATACACCTACTTTAAGATATTGGTAAAAATTTTATGGGTTATAATTCAAAATTTTTTTCGAAAAATTTATAAAAATTATTTAAAAATACAAATTTTAAAAATAAATCATAAAAAATGGGTGAATTTTATTCAGAATGAACCTAAATTTTGAAATGTGAAAGGAAGAATCAAAAAAGTTTTATAAAAAAGAGATATTAATAAACATACACCAAATTCAATTAACATTAAGGAGCTAAAATTTTTAGAGCTAATTTTTTAAGAACTACTTGTGTGATTTTTACAAAACTCTACAGTTTGGCATAATTTGAGTTGTAAAATCGAAATGTGGAAAAAAATTGGTATGTTATTTCAGAAAAAGTCCAATTTTGGGTCAAAATACCTATGTCATAACAATGCTATATATAAATCTAATATATATCCTAAGTTGTGCTTTCAAGATATGAATTTCGTTAATCGGAGATATAGAACTGTCCCCATCTTTCTTTTCTTTTTTTTTTTTTTTTTTTTTTTTCCGCAGTGTACATATGGTGGAGAAGAAAAATTGCATCATCACGACGTACCTCGATAAGGGCAAACCATGCATATAGCTTTAGAGGAGGAGAAGTTAAGCTGTAAAGCTAAACAGCATATATTTATAATGCAATGATATGTCATATACACGTCATGCGACTTAATTAAATATTTAGATGTTTTCAATTAAAATATTAGATCTTGTTTTGCCTCAGCAATTTAAATTTTCACAAAGACTTATTTTTAAAGAATAAGATCTTAAACGAATTTTAATACTTTTGTTCATCAGTTCTACAACTTCAAATTTCTTATTAAATTCTTAGTAAGATGTTGCAATGTTTGAATTCAGTGTTTTAATTTTAAACTTTTAAGAAAAAAATTATACTTTCATATATTAATTTAGTTTGTTTGATTAATTTTATTTAATTGTTTTCATAGGATGTTGGCATCATTTCAATGATAGTTCTGTAACCTTGACTGATGAAAATACAGTTGCCAGCTGCAAGGCTTATATTCTTTTTTACATTCGTAGAGAGCTGAATTTAACGCCTTTCAGTGTTTAAAACCATCCTATATGACATGCTAATTAACTCAATATAAAATGAAAATGGTGACTTTGGTCATGAACTATTTCAGTAAATGTGAAGATGTGCATTGTGAAATGAAAGAATTTAAACTAAATTATAACTGTTATCTTGCTGATAAAATTATGTGTAGAAGGTGGCAAATATTAAGGTAAGAATGAGAAGGATTTAATGCTCTTCTTTGCTTCGTACTTAGACAGTGAAACATGAAAAATGCATTATATTTGCCAATAAGTGTGTCATCATGCCATTAAGTTATTACTGATATGCCTTAAATGATTGTCACATGTCTGAGAAGAGTTGTGTATTCAAGAATGTATCACGGAATTGCATATGCTTGTGATGTGTAACTCTTAAATCTACACTCCATCTTTCAGCAGTTTTCTTTCATGGATTTTTGAAGAAGAAATTAAGTGAGAAAAAATGATACAGCTCTGGTTGTGATGCCTATTCTTTTAACATGCAATTTGACTTTTTGGCTATTTCTTAACGTTTATTTTGGGATGCAAATAATAGCTATGTTTTAAAATGCATGAATGTATTACTCGGAGGTAATATTTGGATTTGCTTCCTTAAAAATGTTATTAGAAGTACCACTACACTTTTTTAAAATGAGCAAGAAAGGTTCTCTGATGAGGTTTTTTTTTTTTTTTTTTTTTTTTTTTTTTTTTTTAATTAAATTTTTACAGCTTTTGATTGTATTATTAATTTAAAAGAAAAGAGGTATTTTGCATGTAATCTAAAAACAATACAAATTTGACAGATGTTTAAACTGTAAATTCATTTTATGTATAAACAGATGCATTTAGTCTTAATTTTTTAATATGAAATTTTTTTTAATAAATCGTATTTGTCAGGTTTTAAAAATGTTCCCATTTTGAAAAACAGAAAAATCTTTCAGCCCCTTTTTTAAATCAATTTGTAACTTGATTTGGTATATCAAGTATCCAAAAAAAAATGTTATGTTTTAAAATTCAAAAGTAATTTCGTAAAATTGTTTTATTTTTTTTTTAAACAAAAGTATTTTAAGTATTTTGATTAGATATTATGAACAGAATTTTTTCTTGTGATGGAAAAAGTATTGAAGTGAATGATGACTATTAGAAAAACTATAATGAGGCATATTTTTCTGTATAATTTCAAACCAATTTTTAAAAATATTTTAATTGTTTCCAAACTGGTGCTTTGGGATAATTAGCTATCTGTCATTAAACAAAAGAATCATTAATGATAATTTTTAAAATCGCTGTTAGAGAAATTAATTACGATTTCATTTTTGGTTGCCTTTTTATCTCTCTTTCTTATGGCAACTATGCAAAATAATAATTTAAATAATATATATCCATTTAAATCGTATCAAAATTTAATGAATGCTAAGTTTTAAAATTGTGATAAATATAATGAATGTAACAAGTTAAATTTTTGGTATCAATCACATCAGAAGAGCTCCGTGGCAAGAATATTGCCTCTATGAAATAAATCAACTTTCTTAACTCAAATTTATACATAAAATGAATGAAAGGGATTTTTTTTTTTGGGGGGGGGGGGAATTTTGGTAAGTATTTATATAAATAATTAATAATATACCACCAAAATACATTTGTATTGTGGGTGGGATTTTAATATATATTTTATGTTATCTGTATGTGTGTATATAATTATGCACACATATAATATTTACACATATACAAATAATGCATAATAACATATACTATCTAGAAATGCCAAATGTAGTTGATATTTGCAGTCTGAATATTTTTTATACTATAATATCAAAACTAATATGAATGACATATTTTTGCATTAAAATGACTAATTTGTCAAGAGGGAATAAATTCTTTTTCTCTGTTGATTTAAAATATACACTTATGTATGAAACGTGAAGGTTTTTAGCATATAATTCTGAAATAAAGCTTTGTGCATGCTAAGCTTGTAGATTTCTTCCATGTATGCATGATGAGCTGTCATGGTATATTGAGATATTATGTCTTCCTTGTAAAAAATATTTTAACTGAATTTTTCTTTTACCTACTACATGCAGGAAATTGTTTAATTACTTGTATATACACATATGACCAAATGATTTTATGGCCTGATACTATTTTCTTTACCTTGTTTAATAAAAAAAAATATGGTTACATTTTCCTATTTAGATCATAAGATCATTGCACAATTTAATATTTTAAGTTTGTGTGTGAATATTTGTATGGTGTTTTTGTTTATTGTAATAATTCAAATATTTATTTAACCATTTTTAATGAGTAATTAAATTTTAAATTCTTAAATGGTGAAGTAAATAATTCATTTCAATAATTACACTTCTCCCTCGACTTATTATAAACTTATGTACTGATTTTTTGTAAAATGAAAGCACAATGATTTTTTTAGATATTTTGTTCTGTAATGGTAAAAAATGAAAATAAATGTATTATATGTAATGTTCTCATGAAAGCCTGCTCTAGTTAAACTAAATATGCAAAATACAGAGGCATTTTTGATTCTTTGACTGTAAGAAAATTTGACTTTGAATATCTTATGCCTTTTTAAAAAGTAAGAAAATTGTAACTTTGAAATCTAGGGGGAACTTTAAGCAACAAATAAATGTTTCATATAATTTAATGTTACCTTTTATGTTTTAAACCTGTCTGTGATCAGCTTATATCTGTTATTTTTTGTGTTATTTGTTTTGTAAATGCATGTCATGTAATTGCTTGAAAGACAGAAATCATGTTTTATATCTATGCAAATATTTTATTAAAACTTTTTCTAATTATTTTATTGTGAAAGTAGAGTAGAGTATTTTCTGCCATGTAGGAAAAGTAATGGGAGTTAAAAACAAATGTAAGCGAATCTGTGGATGTGAATAAAATAAATAAATAAATAAAATAAAGCAAGAAAGAAAAAAGAATGTAATAGTAAAAGATTCCACAAATACTTGCAGCTAGATAATTAGATAGAAGCTTATATTAAAAAACAACCAGTTTTTTTTTTTTTATAAATTCACTTTTGATTATTGTCTTAAACGATTTAATCTTATCTCTTGTTTTCTAAAAATGTAATTGTCTAACTGCAAGTGCTTTCCTGATATTAAACTTTCAAATTTTATGCATGGCAAATTGTTTCATGGAGAGTAATTAGAGAAACAATTTACCATGTAATGAAGCAGTTTGCATAAAATTTGAATGTTCCATGAAATAGTATGTCTCCATTGTAATTTTAAGAGCATATCTTACAGGGAAAGGAATATTATGATTATTTAGTATGTGGTTCTATATTAGATTATAATTCTTGTTTTATTTGATATTATTTGGCTTCAATTATATTTTGTTTATCGTGGCTAGGTTAGAAAATAATTGATCTGTGGCTGATAAATATTGAATTAATAATTTATCATTTTGGAAAATAGCTTTTTCACATATTCTATGTTCAGTTTAGTTTTCCTAATCCAAATTTGCAATAATAAAACGTTCTCGTTTGCCTGAATATTTATTCCAAGCCATGAAAGCTGATAATTAGATTTTCCTTTACAATCTGTATTTAATCTTATATGCATAGGTTTAAAAAGAATTGTCTTTATATTTTTTAAATTGGAATCTTGTGTTTTTTCCATGTATTTCATTAGCTTAAAAAATGTAATTAAAAAAAAAGTTGTTGAAAGGCTTTCTTAAAAAGGGTTTTAGCTTGATTTACAGATCAATCAGTGTTTCTTTGTATGCATTCAGTTTGATTATCTGAATGAAAGAGGATAATACTTGTGTCATGCAGTGTGAAAGGTTAAAATACTGTAGTCAGGAAGTTGGCAAAGAAGTTAAATTACAGAAAATTAGTGCCAGGTGATTGCCACTTTCTTTTTCCAGGACACACAGCTTTTAATGTATTGTATGTGTGAGCTACATACATACATACAGTATATCCCATAATCAGTGTTACAATAATGTTTGAGGGTGAGGAGGTGAAATTGTTATATGAAAATGATTTACAGTTTTTCAATATGAAGCTTCACTTCAGAGATATTGCATCAGAGATATAGTCATCTGCCATATAATGGCTGCCATATTGTTTTAGATAGCCTGAACTGTCTGGAAAGATCATCTTGATAAAAGAGAAGAGTGGAGTTAAATGCTGAGTAATCTGGCAAATAAGATAGTTTGAGCATGACTAGGATCTGCTTTTAATTGAAGAAACCTAAGCTTCTCAGTTCAAACATTCTTTGCTTTACAAGTTAAGGATGAAGTCACTTCATATACTTTTTTCTGCACAGAGTATGTTAATGCTTTTTAATTGACAAATTAAGTTGCTGTAGATTTCATGCACAGGATATGATTTTTCTATAAATATATTAAGTGGAGAATATATATAAACACATTACTGAAATAAAGCAGACACGCAGTTTAAAATTAAATCTGTATTTTCAAAACTTGTTAAGCTGTTCATTGAAGTCTATTCTTTGAAATACATGTCTCTATAAAGTAATGTTCTTGCCTTCTGATTTTTTTTGTAGTTAGTTTTTTATTATTCTTGCAGTATATGCTCATTCATGATTAGTTATCTTTTTATTTTATGTGTAGTTATATTCTTGATTTTGTATGATTGCATGGATTTTCTTTCATTTTTCTACCTATATTTGTATTAATCAGAAATAGTTGATTTTTAATTTAATGAATATTAACATAACAAGTTGGTTTTAATTAGGCAATTTGTATACTATATGTGTCATATATATACTTTGAAAACAATTCAAAGGGGCTTAATTTTTGGCTGATATATTATAAGCAAATAAAATTTCCATGCCCAAAATTATCATGTGTTTTTTACAAATCCAAATCAATTCTTAAATAAATTTATAAGCAGTTTAGCTGTAGAGATTGCTAATGTTGTAGTTAGAAAGATCCTATTTCTTGAAAAGCATTATTAGTAATGAAAAAGGTAAACTTTTGCATGGTAACTGTATTTAAGGTATAAATGCCAAAGTGTTAGTTTATCCGTCTTGCCCTTTTTTAAGCTTGGTAATTTTTTTATTAGCCCTTTCTCATAATTCTTACGCATTTTTCTTTTTGTATGAATGTCTTAAAAATTTTGAAAATTGAGCAAAAGTAAAATTTTAGATAGCAAGAAAATGCAAAAATTTGTAACAGAATTTTGTATCACTTATACAAATCTTTTTTTTTTTTTTTTTTTTTTTTTTTTTTTTGATTGAGCTATGCAGTTTTTAAGTAAAAAAAATTACATTAGAAAATAATTTGTTTCACTAATCACAAAAATTGTATGCATCGTAATTAAATTCATATTCTCTCAAATATTTTTGGATTAAGCTTACTGTCTCCAGTATTCAGTTTGAAATGCAGTTTAAGGAATGATGTTGTTCTTTTTATGACTGTTTAGTGTTTATTATATAAAAAAATGAAGAAAATGATTTAAAATATTTGCTTATTATATTAAGAACTTATAAGTGTCAAGATAAATTGTGTTAATGGCTAGGCAGCCTTCTAAATGAATGGTGATTAAATATCTTGATGTGAAATGTTACCTGTTGTTGAAATGTACTGCACATTAAAAGCATGATAATTTTCAACTATTACTGAATGTAAAATGAAATAGGAGAACAAAATGTAAAAAGTGGAAATAAAACTATTTTTACTGTATGTTTATAATTCCATCAATGTCTAATTATCTTAATTCAGTTTGAAAAAAAATAAAAACTTAACGCCAAACTTAACATTTGGGTTCAGAATGAAGTCATCTGCATTACAGTTAAAAATAAAAAATAAAAAAAAAATTGACATTAGACTGATAATGAATTTATAGACCTCTAAGTTTTGAAGGAGACTGAAACAGTCTCTTTTCTAAGACACTTTCCCTGATCATGTAGAAGGTGCTCTGTTATATTATTATTACAAATATTATACATTGAAAATGGCATTAAAATTTTTGTTATGCAAAATATTGCAGGAAAAGTTGCTTTTAAAATGCTCAATGGAAAGTTCATGGCTCAACAACATACAGGGCATTTTCTGCCCTTATTGCTGTGTAACCTCTTCATGTTAGGCGGACACCTCTGGTGAGTAACTTTCATCAGCGTCGTTAGGTTCCTAAATGTTAATGTAAGAATTCTGAATGTTTTCAGAACTCAAATTCATGGTCTTGAAAACTTTCAGGATATCGAGAAAAATCGCATGAAGTTTAAAGTATGTTTTGTGCCTAGTGCATTATTTCTCGATATCCTGGAAATTTTCAGGATGATTTAATTTAACAGCTACATGTCCCTGATATTAATCCCTAGAATTTCTTCATGAAGGGATATTAGCAAATGTAGTAGAAATCCAAGTCACATTTGTTACTTTCTCAGAAGGCTGGATAGAGGATTTATTTTGTAAAATCTTTACAAATCTGAAGGTGTTCCAGCTTTAATGACTTTTATGCTAGCCAGGCAGGCATGTTGAATGTTTTCTTCATAATGAACGGCCTTGCATATCGAGCATTTTAACCCTTTGGGTACGTATTTATTTGAACATTTTTTTTTTGCAATTGGAGCATATTTAATTTTGTGGGCAAGTAAGAACAATAGATTTTATGCAAGAATTAATTTATTTCGTATTATTCATTATATATACTTCTGCATAATATTGAAATAACTTAGTTATTTCAATAGTTAGTATTACAAAATACTTTTAAACAAATAAACTCTGGTTATAATAAATAACAAATTATCAATAATTTTGAAGTATGTGATACTTTTCAAAACAAGTTGGTAAATGCAGTGGTACTTGGCATTCTTTGCACTGCCAGGTAGTGCCCTTCCTAATTTGGTGTTGACATATTAGAACGTCATATTCGTGACGTATCAGAACGCCATGTGCGTTTTTGCCTAAACAAATGCATGGCATACTGATGCGTCAAATGTAGCCAAAAGGTTAATATCAATTTTGATGTAATGTTCTATATTTAGAAAGTAATAAATCATGCAAATATATGGCGTTTGGGCATCACTTTTTATAACAGATCATCTCTATATTTTACATGATAAATTTTAAAGGGAGAAAAAAGAGGGAATTTTATTAATATATCGAAGATTTAATATTGTTTTCTGAAAGTGACAGTTATTCATCCAAACTAGAAACTAGGTGATGCACAAGACCAAACTGTTCAGTTAAAAATGCTAAATTTTTGTGTTACTTTATATAGCTCCAAAAGACCTGAACATTGTTTTTCTATACAGTACATAAATTGCAATTCACTTCTTGAAATTCACGATTATCAAGCTACTTAAGATATGTGTGATAAAAGAGAATGGATGCGGAATAATCTGATTCTGAAAGTGAGAAGGGAATAGGGTGAAAAAAAAATGTGTCACTTCTGTGCAAATTTGCTTCATAATATGTGAAATGGATTGTATTATTTTAATGTATTCACTATTACTGATAGTGCAGTACTTCTTTATAATGTGAACTGAAGCACCAAAGCGGTATTAAAGCTACTTCTAAAAAGTAATTGAAATTTAAGCTAAAACAGTTAGATAACTGGGAGGTAATAAAGAAAATTTAAGTAGGAAGTCTTTTGCTTTTAGTAAATATATTTCTTCGATTTAAGGCTCCTTTCGATGATAATTTCTTGGCTCGATTGGATATGACTGAATATCCGAAATAGTTTTTGTTAACTTTCATTTGATTATTGTTTATTATTCTCGATTCTACGAACTTTATTTCTCTTTGATTATGTTTCGCATTTTGTACCAAAACGGATACAGGAAGTTTATTAAAAAGCGAATTAATAATAAAGAAACAGATTTATATATATTTCTTTAATTAAAAACAAAGAAGATCGAAATAATTTGAACATATTTCGACTTTCTAGATGAATTTTGAAAAGGGTTCAGTGTCTGTCTTAAACATTAAGAAAAAGATTGGATTCCCAAGTACGATAATTTAATATCAAGCTAAGTACGATCATTTACCACTCATCCACGATAAATAAAAACTTCTTTTGTATGCAGAATATTTAGTTTAAGAATTCTTCCAATTTAGTAATAGCTTTAAAATGTACAGTGCGGGGGAAAAGGGGGAGGACAGTTCTATATCTCCCGTTCTCTTCCGATTAATGAAATTCAACTTACCTTTTTCATGTCTCGAAAGCGCGACTTAAGATATGTATTAGATTTATATATAGCATTGTTCTAATATAGGTATTTTGACACACAATTGGACTTTTTCTGAAATGACATGCCGATTTTTTTCCATATTTCGATTCTACGACTCAAATTATGCAAACTGCCAAGTTTTGTAAAACTCGCACGAGTAGTTCTTAAAAAATTAGCTCTCAAAATTTTAGCTCCTGCATGTTAATTGAATTTGGTACATATTTGTTAATATCTCTTTTTTTTTTTTTTTAAACTTATTTGATTCTTCCTTTCGCATTTTGAAATTTAGATTCATTCCAAATAAAAATTCGCCCATTTTTATCATTTAGTTTTAAAATTTGTATATTTAAATAATTTTTATAAACTTTTCGGAAAAATTTAGAATTTTAACCTATAAAATTTTTAACATCATCTTAAAGTAGATGTATTTCTAGGCACACCTGCAAAGAATTACTGTTTTTTTATTTCAAATTTTCTATTATATACATGAATTTACATATCCGTTCTATGATATACATGAATTACTTTCGAAATTCGGCATGTTTGTTATAAGTGATAATAACGCCAAATGTAGTTTACACTGTTAAAATTATTTGAAAGCATAAACGATGACTTTTTTCCCGCTCTTCTACAATGAAAAAAAGGAAAGGAAAATAGGTTACCATATATTAAGAAGTTCGACAAGTGAATTATTCTTGCCGCAAACTGAAAACAAAAATTGCGGCAGAATAAATTTTTGAATTTATCCGTAAATTTCGCATCAAATTTTACAAAATATAATATTTAGGCATAGTCGTAGAATCGAGATATGGAAAAAAATTAGCATGTTATTTTAGAAAAAGTGCGATTTTATGTCAAAATACCTATATTAGAACAACCGCTTTATATAAATCTAAATACATCCTAAGTCGAGACATGAAAACGCAATTTGAATTTCGTCAATACGCCCAGTACAACGGGAAAAATAGAACTGTTCGATTTTTCCCCCCTCAGTGTGCATGTTGCAAACATTTATAGCAGAGTGATAATTCGTAAACCATTGGGGATATCATGTCTTGCTTTCAAGCGATGTCAGTTTCAGTGCTGCAATGCCCACCAAAGCTGGGCCCGATGGTAGTAGCAACTAGTCATCTGATCTAACGAATCAGCGTTCACCCTATTTCAGACTAATGAGATCGTTTATGTCTGGAGAAAGTCTAGAACCTAGAACACATACTATAAAATCTGTGAAAGAGAAAAGTGAACGAGACTTTTTCAATGTGTTCCATGTTATTGATAACACCTTTAAAATAGGAAACGAAGCATTAAAGCGGTATTAAAGGTACTTTTAGAAAAAATATTAAATAAATCAGTTAGATAACTAGAAACATTTATTGTTGCTACGCCATTAGGCACTACACAGACAGAGAGAGATAGTTCGTAGAGGACGTTTTAATCGAAATTGGCTCGTATCTACATCATGCATGCGAAAAATCATGAAAACGATCACACAAACAGTCCGTTCGCCAGGACTCGAATCCCGCACCGAACTACCAGTGTGCAGAGGCTTTTACCGCTCTGCCACTGGTAGGCAACTGGATAATATGAATAAAAGTGATAAGTCTTTCGTTTAAATATTAGACAAGACGCTTCCTCTATGTAAGGATCCTACTGATTTAATGATCACTTTTATTGCGTTCACATTTAGGTTTGATTGTATATCCAAAAGAAATTGCAGTAACTTTTGCTTCAGTATTGTATGCCGAAAGGTACCTACTTTAACATATTATACCTTTCTAAATGAATTTTGCTAAAGGTTTATATCAAAATTATTCTCTGTAAGCACTAAGAAAATTAAAGATAACCAGGCTAAAAATTAACGTAAAATTTAACATAAAATTAACCTGAAACTGATAAAAACTCTTTCCACAGAAAGTATTCTAATAAAAAATTTTCCGATTTAATAACAGTATTTAGCATGTGTTTTTCACTACAAGTTAGAAAATATGAAATTATGACACTTCCAGCAAACGCGCAATTCTCACGAATCTGGTATGTACAGTTTCACATAACATTACAAAATAAATTCATTACAATTTAATTCAGAGGGCAAAATGAAAAGGAACTCAATTTATTTCAACACAGAATATCTTACTTCAGGAATTCAAACTATGTTAGGTCATATTATTCATAAGTCATGGGTTTGTATGTTAATAAATCTTTACTTGCGAATTCAGTGATCATGTCCATGAAGGGAAACTGAAAGGAAAAATTACATTGAATTTCGATATCTTTCTCTACAAATCAGAAAAACAAATTATCAGTGTCACAGATTATAGCAAAAATACAGTTTTAACGAATATATGGAGGATCTCGATCGTAGCAACGGCCTCTTAAACCCGCAGAGACCAAAGTCTCTCCTGAGGTGCTTTTGAAATTGATGTAACCTTTGTAAACATCAGAAGATATCTCTTTAACTCCATGACTCCATTTATTCGTTGGAGTTAATCTCATACCACTGCTTACAATAGATGGATATATATGTTTAGTAGAAAAGTCAGCTGTGAGTTGGACGTTGTAAAACAATGTTTCGGTTTTCAGGGGGAAAGATGCGCAGGGATTTGTCCCATTGGGTTCACATCTTGCCAACGTACAAGTCTGCTCGCAAAGGGAATAACGACTATGATAATCATAATCAATTGTACCATTGTATACTATTAAGTAAAAATTTTCCGTCATACCATTAGAAGAATATTTAAGGGAGCAACATACGCCATTAAAACAAGCTTTAATATGATCGCTATCATCTATTAACTTCACGAACGAAAAATTTGACATATTTGGTTCGTGGCATCTGTTATCTTTGTAAAGGTCCTTTGCTGTGCCTAAAACTCTCCAAGAGCATACCGAAGGGATATCTGATCCATCATTATGAGATTCTTCAGTACTACTCAAAGTGATCTTTGTAATGCTAGCATTCGGTGGTGATAAAGTAGAACTGTAGCCTCTTCTCGGAACTGTGGCGACAACTAATTTTGACGTACCATCTGGATCGAAAGTATAAGCTAAAGGCCCATCGGCTGCACTAAATAACCCACTACCTACTGCTAAATAACCTGGAAGTTGAATATTGGCCGCTAAAAGTGTAGCATTATTTCCAAGCGCCCACGATTCCCAAAGTTGGATAGATGATCTTTGAGGAGGAGAGTTTCCCCACATCGCAGAGAAAGCAACTGCATCTATCTGTAATTCTTTCCTCTGAGCTACTTCAGTCATTTTAAAAAATTCGAAGTCGAAACAAATGAATGTGGCAAAAATTCCGAAATCTGTCTTAAATACAAAATCTTGCGGTTGCATTGGTAGATCCATGCCGAATTCATAGAATAAACGTTCCTTGTAATAGCGCACAAGCATTGTGCCATTCTTATCAAAAACGACGTTAGTATTGAAATGAAAAGATCCATCTTCTGGGCATTCATCCTCTCCTTCACAAGACTGGATGGCTCCCATATTTGCCACTACAACAATTTCATTCTGCTGAGCCATGCAACTCAAAGTATAAAGTATAGTGCGGTTCTGGTATTTTTCTGTTTCATTACAAGGATTGGTTGTAACCTGTTTGGGATCTGGAATCACTTCTAAGTATGGTTTCAACTCATTTCTTTCCAGTGGAGGAAATATGCCATATTCTGGGAAGACAATAATGTCAGCTCCCTGTAAGGAAAGAAAAAATCGAATCAATAGTCTACGTAGCTTTATTTATCACTCTTATTACGAAGTTTAAAATAAAATGTCGCGAAATGTGCTTTACATTACTTTTATATTTTCATATCTTTCATTCAATTTTCTCTTTCAAATAAAAGAAATTATTCCCAATGGAATATAATTTTTCCTCATCCTAATTCAGGAAACGAAATTAATCATAGCTTTATTAATTATTTATTATAACTAACATTAGATCTAAAACTTATACGTACTTATATCGATGACATACGGGAAGAGAACAAATAAAATTTTTCATTAAAATATAACGAAGCAATATCAGACTATGCTCAAATAACCACTGTCTTTTATATGAATTTTCGGTAACTGTATCATTGGCTTATGATCTAAGATCTTAACATATCCAGATCTCGATTTCATCAGACATATGGGCTTATCTTAAAGAAGCAGTTTATAATAATATGACACCTCGAATCCTGGCAAATTAATATACCAAAATGAAACTGAGAAATATAGAAACTACTACCATTTACATACCTGTAATTTTACTGTTCATATTTAATCGTGTCTAGTTTATATTTTTCTTTCAATTATACATAACCCTAAATAAGACTTACGTTTGATATTCGATAGCCTGTATTTTTACAACTAAAAGTTCATTAATCTCATAAAATAGGACAATTTAACAGTTGGGACAATTTAACACCTTTTCATCTGCAAGTAGTAATGAAACCCTAGTAAATAATAAAAAAATAGCAGGTAACAGATGATAAATTCTTAAAATTTTAAAATATTGCTATTCGTGTTGCAGTTATTGAAATTTCGTCTTGTTTAATTAAATCAAAATATAGTCAAAAGTCGTTAATCCGGACTCGTCGGGACTTCGCCGATTCCGGATTATCGATTTTTCCGGATTATAGATCATCAGTTTAAATCTCGTAAGATGGCATGCAGAAATTCTAAAATTAAAAATATGAAACCGTAATTTATGAAATAAAGAACAATTATGATCTAAAGGGTAACAAAATTTCCAAAAAAAAAGCTTAATATTTATTTGTTTACTTTATTAAACATTTCTTTCAATGTAAGTTGTTTAAGTTTTGCTTCGTTTCATGTGATAATACTTTCTCTTTAATTCTATTAAACAGACATAATTTCTTGTTCAGTTACAAAGTTCCGCTGTTCAAGTCCTATAATTGCTGTGTCGAGAGCACGGACTAATTTGTCAATCGAAATTTTTTCGTTTTCAATAACCTCTGTCACTTTCTTCGCTATCGGAAGCGAATTATAATGACGAGGAACTTGTTTTAAATCATATCAAAGACGGAGCATATCGAGATGAAATACTACATTTGGAATTATAAGCCAAATAAAATAAAAACATCTGCGCTGAAGATAAGGATAGTGCTGACAGATCACTTCCAAATCAGCTTACACGCCCGCCGCGGCGTTCCCCCCGCCGAACAGAGTGAAATTGATAAACAGATTTCGGATTTCAAAACATACTTTCGCTTTAGATCCTTTACATATTAGCAAATATATATCGGAAATTCTGTTTGATATAATCGAAAGTTTAAGCTTACTTTTATAAAATTGCTCTTACAGTCTGCAAAAAATAATAAGCCGGATCCAATTCGAAAATTAAGGAACAACGCAATCATCAACATTAACTGAAATAGATAATTAGATAATTTTAGCTTATACGTCCATTATACATAAAACGCGCACGCGAAAACGTATTCTGCACTTGCGCACACTCATATGCGCAGTCGTAAAAGGTTTTACGCGCACGCGTAAACGCCTCTGCGCATGTGTCAACGCGGCACATGCGCAGAAAGTTTTTAGTTTTGAGGTCCGGATTATAGATCATTCCGAATTATGGGTGTCCGAATTAACGAATTTTGACTGTACTGTTCTTCACGAAAGGATCCTGGATGTTGGAAGCTCGCCTACTTGAGAGTTCCGCAAACAGTTCATCAGTCTCAGATAAAGAAAAAATTCCTTTATTCCCTTTAATAAAGTGTTACTTCTCCTTGCCAAAAGAATGCAAATTATTTTTATATACGTTAAATCAGTGAGACACATACAGACTTCAGAAACTGTAAACAAAATAAGGAGACAAAATTTTTTTATAACGTTATGTGATGTCAAAATTTGCATAAGATATAGAGCGCGTATATTTCCTTATACGTACTTACCTTCGTCTTGGCTTCTTTCGTTGCTTTCTTATAGTAAGCTAAGTTCTTGGATATTATAATCTCGGGCGTATCTTCAGTCACATTCGATTGACGAGCGTGTTCAAACACTGCTGCAATATAATATGATCTTAATGATGAAGCCACACCGATGACGACCATAAAGAATATTAAGGAGACTTCCCAGTGATTCATAGTTCTTTAAAAAAAAAACAAAAAAAAGCATTCGCAATTCAGTTCCATGCTAGAAAAATCTGCAATAATAAATAATGGGTTTTTTTTTTTTTTTTTTTTTTTTTTTAATTATTATTCAGGAAATTTATAACAAGAGCGCGATTTCTCGTATGATAAAATCACACGTTTAAATGGCAAAGATAAGAGTAAGAAAAAAACTTTTCTTTATCCAATGGCAATGATAGATGGAAAGTTTACATTGAACCTATATAATTCGTATCTTAAAAAATATTCTGGGAAGAAATGGCAAGAAAAGATGTTTTCATAAAGATATAATATTCGGGCTCCTTCCCCTCCTCTGTGGAACGGTCCTTGCTACACCAGGGTGCCTGAGCCTAGGCTCTACACCTTGTAGAATAAATTGGTAGCTTCTATGTTTGATGGATGTTAACCTTTCAATTAAGCATTTAACTAGTTAACAGTTATGATAATGTTTTTTTCTTAATATTTTCTAAATATATGAATTAATTTTAAGATACTGTTTTCAGTAAATATTACTAAAGTATTAATTTTCATTTTAGGCAGTAATGGGAAAATCGACAAGCTGTAAGAAAGATTGGCACAGAAGCAGACGAACTGGTGACGCTATGATAAAAACATGGTAATTATGAATGCAAATATTTAGTAACATGAATCCATTAATAAGATACAAAAATAACATATAACATAAGGAATATATACAGTGAGCACAGTTACAACTAACATAAATATAGACATGGTGCAGAAGATACTTGGAAACATAAAAAATGATGGCACATGTAAACAGTTGGTACTTAATAACAGATTGTTACATAATCGTGGTGTTTAGTTGCGCCAAGGGTCTATCCATATCGTCTAAGTTATTATAGTCATGAGTACAAATTTTAATACTAGAGTTATTAATTATATTTTGCTTTGCATGAAAATGTTTTGCTAATTTGTAGTAGTGTGTTCTAAGTAACTCGACACCAAGCTCCTGATGTATTCGATTATTTCTGATGTACCAGCCCGCACTGGTTATTTGCCTTAGCACCATGTTTTGGCATGCTTGTAGCTTCTGCCTGTTTGTTTTTCTTGTATGTGCCCAGACTGGGCTTGCATAACATAGTAATAGTCTGAGAATGGACTTGTAAATAACTAACTTGTTGTCTATTGATAATACACTGTGCCGAGCAATTAAGGGATAGAGTTGTGCTTTACGAACTCGGAACTTCTGGATAATAGAAGTGATGTGTGGGGAACCATGTAAGAGTATTATTGAGGATCACTCCAAGAATATAGGACTTGCTTGGCTCATGGAATACTTTGGTTGTAGAATTGCAGGTTGTTTCGAATTCTGGTCTTTCTTGTGAAAAGGAAAGCCTTTATTTTGTCTACATTAACAGCAATCTTTGATTTGGTAAGCGAATGTATGTAGCCAAGCTCTATTCGCTATGACTATTTATGCATTTAATTAGTTAAACTACATTTAATTAGTTAATTGCATTTAATTAGTTAGCTACATACATTCGCTAGAGTCTATTCGCTATGACTCTAGCGAATGTATGCAGTTTTGTAAACGTTGGATGACTGAATCAATAAATGCACTCTGTGCTAGAATCGCTGTGTGATCTGCATACATAGCAAGTGTTGTGTCCTGTGTGGTGGGAATGTCGTTCACATAAATATTAAAATATGTCGGTTCAAGCAAGGACACATGAGGGACCCCTGCAAGGATAGGGTGTGAAGTAGAGTTTGTTTCTGAGACGTTAACGACAAAGTGTCTACCTGTGAGGTAGGAATTAGTAATGTTTACGATGTATTCTGGGAATCCCAGAATGTGTAATTTGTATATGAGGGCATCCAACCAGACTCTATCAAAAGCCTTGGCAATCTCAATTAGAGGCCTCCTGTTATTTTCTTAGTAGCCATCCCTTCAGATATTGTTTCAATCACTCTGTACAGTTGGTTGGTAGTGGAGAGGTGTTTTCTGAAGCCGAACTGGTGTGGAATGGTGATATTTTCTTCAGCCAGATGCGCGTTGATTCTTTTAAGTAGTATTGCTTCAGATACCTTGCTTATTGTTGACAGGAGACTTATAGGTCTGTAAGTGTCTGGTTTTGCAGCAGGTTTTCCTGGCTTTAGAATAGGTACAATTTTAGCTGTTTTCCAGGCTTGAGGAAAATACTGACAGTCTAGTATGAGGTTGCAGAGTTTGGGGAAGATGAAGATAGATTTGACTGGGAATTTTTTAATCATATCGTTAATAATGGTATCCAGTCCTGGACTCTTTTTCCTTTTCAGTTTTTTGATAATTGCAAGGACATTTGAAGGTAAGGTTGGAATAATGTTGTTTGTGCGTGGGCTTGTGAAGAAGGTGGAATGATACAGTTGAACAATGTTTTCAGTGTCAGAATCATGAATGTTGTTTGTGCGAAATTGAGATTCCAGATGCTGAGCTAAGAGTTCTGCTTTCTCAATTTCTGTGTACAGGATCTCTTGAAGCCCTTTAAGGGGCGGAATGTTGTTGTGGCATTTTTATACCTCCTGATAGCCTTCCACAGTAAATGATCAGCCGTAGTAAGATTCTGGAGGTATCTGGTCCAGTTGTGTTGTGCTTGAGTGTTTAAAAGAAATTTGACCTCGTTACAGAGGCGATTTAATCGTTGCTTGTCATCCCTGTTTCTGGACCTCTGGCATTGCCTTCTGGCTGCATTTCTGTTTTTTATGAGTTGCTGTAATTCCGTACTTCTATGAACACGTCTTTGAGGAACTTCTTTCTAAGCATTGGAGTAGGTATTAGTTATTTTGGTGGTGAAATTCTGAATTAACCTATCAATGTCATCCCTCGTAATGTGTACTGTGTTGTTTAGAGTTTTGGCGAATTTTCGCCAGTCAGGAATAAAGACTCTTGTGTCTGGTGTGGTATAACTGCTAATGTTCAGAATCATTCTGACCGGATAATGGTCAGAAGAGAGTTAATTCAGCACAGAAATATCCAGCGGAACGCTGGTATTTTTGAACAGGAGAAGTCGATGTTCCTATGGAACGGCAGTATACCGTGTTGGGGTTTTTGGAGCTGCTGTGCGTAGATTCGCGGTTGGGCCAACTGAAACCTACGTCCTGTCATTGAATTTAGCGTTCTCCGGTTCTAGGTTCTCGCATTAATGTGTCCAATGAGAGTAGCCTGCAGATCCTACGCAGTGAAGTTCGTGCTGTGATGTCTTGTCTAGTGCTTATATTGTAAGGATCTTAAGTTTTACTAACGTTTATTTTATTTTAAATCTTTACTATCACTTCTTATTTTCTACTTCCGGCCAGAATTATAAGCGTTAAGGATTTATGCAAATTTGTCTTGGCGAACGCCAAGTATTTAAGTTGTGGCTTTTTGCCAAGCAAGAGAGAGGAAGGAGTGAGTTCGAAGCAGGCCGCTTTGCCTTAGAAGTTTTACGCAGTTGCTGGTTGCCTTCCAGGCCAGAGGTTTAATCCTCTTGATAATTTTAAACGTATTGTAGTGTTAACAGTTCTCTGTACTACATACGGCTTCCTGTTAATATAGGCCAATCTTCAAGTCCACTTGTTTATTATTCCAAAGTTTAAAGTTAGAGTTTAGTTTAATATTTTTATATTCTTACGTTCAGACCACAAGTGGTTGGTCTCTGTATTCCGAAGTACGGAAATTCATTGTAAAGAGAAAAAATAAAGGGTTTCGTATACCCTTCTTGTGTGTATCCTGTCTACTTCCCCACATTTATTGAACATAGCTTTAGTAAGCTCCCTGTTCCGAGTCAGGTCTTGTATGTTTCCCGAAGAAGGTTAAGAAGAACATTGAACCTGATAGTGGCGCCCAACGAAGAAGAATAACCATGGCCGAGTTTCAAGAAGAACCTGTGCTGCCTGCAGAAGCGGCTCAGAATCCAGAAATGCCAGCTGCCGCCCTGGAAGGATTTGGTTACATCGTCCAGACCATGCGCGCTTCGATGAAACCAGAAGCAACATTTAATGGAAACTCACCGGTAACCAGTTTTTTTGGAAAAATTGGATGACCACTTCATGCTCTACCCCGTGCACGAGTTTCCAAGAAAGTTACCTTAGCTACCAGCGCTTTGAGGGGCCAAGCGCTTAATTGGTTCAAATGTATAGGCAGAAGTCTCTTGGGTCAAGCAGGAAGTCCCACCTATACTTACGAAAATTTCAAGACTGCCCTACTAAAAGCCTTCCCTGTCGTAAGGGATCGTGCGAAATTAGAAACGGAACTTTTCATTTCAGCATATATCACACAAAGAATCGAAAATCTCTCAAGCTTTATTTTAAGAAAAATTCACGTCTTCAAACTCTTGTATGGAAACCGTCCGGATCCTGAGATAATTCAAGTGATTTTGCCGAGGTTACTTCCCCAAGTGCAAGACTTTATTGAATTAAGAAATCCGACTACACTGGAAAAGTTATTTGAGCTAGCAATCCAGTTTGAAAGTAGAAGAAGAACGGCGGACATTGAAAGAAGACGCCAATATCAACAGCGAAACCAATTTGGTACGCCAAGACCACAGCAAAGTCAAGCACACGGCTACGGGAGCAAAGCGAATCAGTGGGCAAGGAAACCCGAGCATTCCAAAAACAGCCGGCGAACGTCGACAGTTCAATAGCAATCCAGGAAAAAAGTCTCAAGGCCAGTGGAAAAAGAAGGAAAGCATGGAAAGGAAAAAACAAGATTTAAACTAAAACGGATTTCTGCTGACGGGAGGGTGCGGAAATCCGAAGGCCAAGAAAAACCCCTCTTCCTTCAAGTTAAATACAGTAATGGTGAAAAATTTGACTCTTCCGAAGATTGAAGTGTTGGTGAATAATATCCCAGCCACCGCACTCCTGGATACCAGGCGCGCAGTGTTCCTGTGTGGCAGAAGATTTTTTAGGAAGTATTTTCGCAAATACCGCATATATAATTCGGATAATACGACAGTGTTAGCTGCGCAAGGAGAAAGATGTAAGTGCATAGGTAAATTACCG